GCTAATGATTTAGGGCAGATTTGACTTACTCTACCTAACCGGAGGATAATAAATAATAAGGTTAAAAGGTGTTAAGATTAAAGCACACACCGTAAAACATGGCGCCCAGCGTGGGGCTTTAACTGTTCAATTCTGGCCAGTAATTGAACAGTTAAGCGCCAGCTAAATAACGTGTGCGTGGATATGCTTAAGGATTAGAAATGTATTTTCTTTTTTAAGGATGAATCAATTAGAAGACGACTAGTGAAACTTTTGTCGAAAAAAAAAATCTAGAAAAGATTATTTAAAGACGACCCAGAAAGGGTTAGATGTGCAAGGCTCGTTGCTTCAGGCTATGTGTTGCGTACCGTCTCGATCAGGCTCCTGTAGTCCTTCAGAACCTCAGCCTGATGTCGTTCGCTCACACGTTCAGCACAACAGCTCCGACGCGCTCATCACCGTTCAGGATCTCAGGAACCTGTGCAACAACATCAAGAACATGAGCACCAGGAAAGCAGTGAGTGCGCACCTTATCCTGAGGTAGCACGGGCATGACGGACCATGGACGTGCCCATGATCACGGTGGCGTCGCGTTCCGACTCGCGACGAGGGGAGAAGCGGTTCCAGGGTCGAGATCTCGAAGACCGGGAGGGGCGACGGAGAGGTTCTAGCTCTGGTCCTGGCTTGTGTCTTCCGCTGTGTGATCCATGATCCATTATGTTGTGTCGGTGTCTGAGTGAATGAAGCCAGAGATGATCGAGTCCTCCTGGGCAGAGAAACGCACGTAGTAACCTTAGTCTGAGTAAAATAGTAACGAACCACTGACTTGTGAGCATCAGCACGTGATGTTTCAAGCACTGACCGCCGATCCAGCAGCTTGTCTTGCTTCTCCAGCAGACCACGGATCTGTTTCTAGATGTATTCCAGCTCCTGCTTCACCGAGAACAGCTCGAATGCGTCTTCACCTGCACTCAGAGGTAACGTTAGACACGCATCTTACGTGGTCGCCATTATAACAGATGAACAGTAAATTAGTTTTGAAACTACAACTATCACTACTAATTTAGGACTGAAATGCCGGGTATAACCCGTATCCTTTCAGTGAAACGGGTGTAAAATGAGACGGCTGACAGGCAAGACACCACGCGTGAAATGCTAGCAGGCTAAAGGCTAGTAGCCGAGATTTAGAAAATTGGATCCAAGTAGCGATATCAAAGCAATCCAATTGTTTTTTATAAGGAATAGTATCAAGGATAAGTTCACATGTTATAAAAATAGAAAGTGCTTGTTTATAAATGATTGGTAAAGAAGAAAATCAAGGATTGATGAATCAATTAGACGGAGCAACAAACACAAACCTTAACAAGCTTTACAAAACTTTGCAAGGATTACATGTCTGTATACTCACCTGTCTGCTTTGCAGTGAAACCTCCAGCCGCAAGTTCTCTGTCTGTCACTTAAAGAAGAGTGTTCCATACCTGTATACTCACCTGTCTGCTTTGCAGTGGAGACCCCCCACTGTAAGCTCTGTGTCTGCTAGCCCTTCGAGAGAAGAGGACTCCGTGATTGTATACTCACCTGACTGTCTTGTAGTGAGCACCTCCAGCCTGAAACCCTCCTGCAGCAAGCTTCATGATCACCAGCCTGCAAGAGGAATTAAGTGCCACGTTATCACCTGACTGATTCCCAGTGAAGTTACCATCAGAGCACCCCGACCCTGCATTCCCCCCTAATTAATTTTATCTTCAATGAAAAATAGTTTTACCCAAATCTTGTCGTCTGTCCTCCTTGCTCTGTCCGACTGCCCAAGGGTGGTACGGGTCTCAGGGGTGGGTGCAATCAGGTTGGCCGGCCCTGACCTGTGACATAAGTTTACAACTTGCATACAAAGTTTCACAATACAAGAAGGGGCAAACAATGACATAAAAGGTAGACAGAAAATGTAAGAAACAATTGAAAGATATGTAATATAATATGAGTCAAAAAGCAGAAACTGGTTATAGAAGGTCAGCCACTAATGCTAACATATAGAAGACGGGCAGAGAACAAAACAAAAAAGTGCATAAATATACAAAATACACAAACAGTAAAGACAAAACATTTGATGCATTACATTTCAATATAAAAAAAAAGAACAGTTTTAGAAAAATAGTAATTGGCATGAAAGTCAATTGGACAGGAACATAAAACAGCATTAGAACATAGAACAGCATTAATGCTAATAATAAAAAGAGCATAAATGAAAGATGGATGGAAGAAATTAAATCATAAACAAAAAACAATGGGCTTAGAAAAAAAGACATGAGAAAGGAATAAAATACACAAACGATAGGAAAATGCACAAATACAAAAATGTAAATTTTGTAAAAGTATTGGTCATTGTACGAATAGACAAACAAGTCTTAAATTGGATACATGAGATGAAGTGAAGGCATATATACAAAAGAAGCAATTTCAAGACTATGGTGTTGTACAAAGCAAATTACTTATACAGCTTTATAAAGTATAAATAAAAAAGGAATTCATGTAGTGTAGATTAGCAGTGCCGGCTTGCTGAGAAGGAACATGGCATTCGTGTACAAGTACATACACACCCTCAACAGTAACATTTGTTTAAGAAGTTGGACATGTGGAATTTCAGCCCCAAAAAAATACAAGCCCCAACATTACAATGCCTGCACTTTTTTTATTTTATTTTATTTTTTTACAATTAGTGTAATTAAGCCAGTTTCTTTGTTTCACACACTTGTCAATAATCATCTTCTCTACATAAATTAGGAAGTACAATAGGCAATGTAATAAATCAAGTCAATTCACATAGGGCTGTGAACTCTAATCTAATCTAGGGCTGTTAAACGATAAATCATGATTAATTGCATCCAAAATAAGTTTATTTACATAATATTAGGGTTAAAACAGTGTGAGGTGCAAAAGAAAAGGTTTAATAGAACATGAAGTGCAGAGAAGAGCACATAGAAACAAGAATAAGTCTCACGTCTCCACACAAGGAGGGCTTCAGAAGATATGCAGAGGATCTGCTAATACTCCATTTAAGAGCATGTGCAGGTCCTGAGAAACACTTATAACAGACAAGCATTTAAACCGCAAATTACAAAGTATAGTATTGATTATGTTGGCAAAATAGGCAAGTTAACAAATTAACATTAACAAGCGGTCATCGGTGAACATGTCATTCTTTGAGTTATTTAGGGTGCACATTGATGAATGGATCTCACCTGAACTTCACCGGTCACTACATGTGGCAACCCTCTGTTTCTGAAATCTGACTCACTCAGATGCCTTTATAGCCCTAAACAGCTCCTGCAAAAACACAAATCATCAGATCACACACACACATGCAGTACTCATTCCAATCAAGAGCTCACTGGAGCAAAATCATCAAATTAAGTTAATTCATTAGAGCAACAGAGGGCATTTCTGGAAAATTGGTGTTTAAAAAACACAGAACAGATTGTAAGTGGATCATTGGACATAAAATAACCACACGAACGATCCGATCTCAGTGATAGAGCTCCCATCAGACCATTTACATCTCAGATCTACAGAGGAAACAGAAAAGTTAACATGATACACCTAATTAAAGAAACAGTAATAATTAAAAAAAATCTGTGTGAAAGCGGATAAAGTGAAATATTTTAAAACACTTAAATATTAAAGCCAAATTAAGTGTAGAACAGTCAATAAAAGATGTGCTCATAAATGTCACTTACAAAATGGTAGATGAATTAAAGCACCCAGTAATGGAGATAACTTCAGGAGACTTTAACAGACCAGAAGAATCCACGAGGAGAACCACACACATCAACTAACTTAAAGTAATGCAAGCCAACAACCAGGGCGAAACAGGCTTAAATACACAGATAACAGATCAGGGAAACGAGACACAGCTGGGGTAAATTAACCCAACGACAGTAACCATAGTAACGAACTGGGAGAGAATGGAGACCTGACTAGTTCATGAGGTTCAGCTGTGTTGTGTTAATGAAGACGGTGAAACTGGGATCAAGGAGTGGCACAATTTGATGAAAGCCTAAAAATGCTTCAGAAAGCCTTGGTTTACGATCACTACATTTAAATCAGTGATGTTACATATTATGGTCAGAAGGCTCCAGATCTCATTTAACGAGTCAATGTTGCCTCAGTCGGGTGTTTGAGGAGAGCACTGTACTTTGAAAGTTAATAAATATAATTCATTAAATAACCAATTCTAGTCTATTCTTTTTTGTTTTGTCTTTTTGTTTTGTAAAATCTTTGCACTTTGGTGGATTTAAGGTAATTTGGTGTTGGTATTTGGATTTAGGGTGGGATTAGGAGAGAGGGGATAGAGTGTTGGTGTTTGGCGAAGGGTTTGTATTTAGAGCAATGGCAACAGCCACAAAAAGGAAGACTTCCCCTATCTGGGAACATTTTGAGCTTATAGCCTCCAATGTATGTGTGTATGTATGAATATCTATATCTATATCTATATATATATATATGTATATATATATAATTTAACATTTTACTTATTTTATTCTTGTAAGTAATTTATTACTTTAATATAACATTTTTTAGAAGGTGAGATGTTTGGTGTGTGACAAAGAGCTTGTTTATGGAAACAACACATCATCCATGCTGAGGCATTTCAGAGCTTTACATGAGACTGCACAGCTCCAGAAAGCCATGTGAAAGAGTGTTCTCTAAGGCTGGGGAATTACTGTGTAAGAGGAGAAATAGACTCCACCCCAACACTGTGAAACAGCTTTTATTTCTAAATAAAAATAACTAAAAACTTTATCACCTTTCTGCCATTCCTACAGTTACATAAGCACTATCACTGCCAAGTGTCATACATTTAAAAACAGATGATCCTATCAGACAATGTTATATTCATTATGTGTGTGTACACGGAGATAGAGTAAGTCTACATTAAATTTTATTGAATTATATAAGCTTATATTATATTTTATTGCCACACTTTAATGGGAAAATGAATTTATTAAATGAACAAATCAAACACAAACATGTAAGGTTTTTATTTGTACACATAACATTGAAACTCTGTAGTGTGTTGTGGTTGCTTCATCTGTCAGAGCTTCTGGCTGCTTTATTTTAAATAAGCACCAGATGGCACTGTTCTCGACACTCTCGAAGCTTTGAATATTTTCCCGGAACGGTCAAGGGAAAGCCTCATTGCTTCATGAAGCTTCATTTCCCCATCCCTAGTGTGAAGTACGTTATCCTACAATATGTGCTTTTTCCATGACTAAGGGGAACATACAGTACAGAAACATTGTAGTGGTGGTTAAAAATGATAAAATAAGATGATTTTGATTAGTCAGTGCTGAACTGAAGAAGCCACACAGCCAACACAGCAACTACCCAGAATGCACCACAATGCAGAGCTGAAACAGAGAAGAACAAACATACTTTGATTTGTGTTGTGTTAGGCTTTGACATTTGACATTCATTTGATAGGCTTGTTAACATCAGATGTCTTCAATAATGCTCAGTCATGCCTGAATTATTCACTGAATTAACTCATTGACTTTAACAACTTTAACACACTCTCAGTGTTTCCTGAAGAGGGCCGTGTGAGGACGAACTGGAGGAAGGTTTTCGGTGTCACTGGATATGGGGCTTCGCTTCAGCTCCACTTCATCTGACCTGATACTCCTCTCCCACATCTGTGTAACACACCACAAAACTCAGATCAGTCAGTCAGAGAATACATATGCCTGAGTGCATGGGATTATTAAAAATCATAATTATGAATGTAATGTACCTTCTTTAAAGGATGTTATGATGGCACAAAATTTTCCCCCCAAAAAAGTCTGAATTATTGTTTTAGATTTTCCTTTTAAGATAAATGTTCTTCTTTAAAGTATATTATTTACATAATACCCCTTAAAATGTTCTACAGTGTGTGCAAAGGAATCAAACAGATTTTACAGATTCACAAATTTACTAAATGAAATGAGTTCATTACACTCAAATATGGGTCACTGTTCATTGCACTTAATAGAGGAACGTTATGTGAACTCAATAAATGATATGAATCAGAACTCGATTTAATCTTACAACAGATTTGTAGTTCCCAGCATGCTTTGAGTATTTTTGAACTAAATGAATATAATGTTTAATGTTCTGTTATGTTGGGGGTTTGTGGGTTTAACCTGCAGGTCTTCAGAGATGTTCCTCCATTCCTCTGTGGAGAAACAGGAAGCGGTTGCGGCGCGATTCTCCTTCCTCAGGACTCGACACTTTGGGTCCAGTTTCTCTATGTGTCTCTCACAGAACTCAATCAGATGAGGGTAAAAGCCCTCCAGTCCAGACCTGAGGAACACCAGCAGCACATGTGAGTGAGACAGACAGACAGACAGAGAGTGAGTCAGACAGAGTCAGACGGAGAGTGAGACAGACAGACAGAGAGTGAGACACACAGAGTGATAAAGACAACTGTCTCATTGTCGCAAGTTTTTACAATACAACAAACAGTCAGATAGTCAGACAGACAGACAGACAGAGAGATAGTCAGACAGACAGAGAGATAGTCAGACAGACAGAAAGATAGTCAGAAAGATAGTCAGACAGGCGGGTCTCACCGCAGAACTCTCAGGATCTTCTCCAGATATCTGAGGTCTGAGCAGCTCTGGATGAAGCTGTAATCGAGATGATCCACAGGAACCGACACGCAGCTGGAGCCTGGAGCACTCATGATGACACCTGCGACCGCTGATCTATATAGAATGATATGATATGGTATATAATAGATAATAATAGATAATGATAATAATAGATGATGATGATATATATATATATATATATATATATATGTATAATGTCATTGTATAGATCAGTGCCTGCGACACACGCACAAACAAGAAAGCAAGAAAACTCTGCATTCGTACACTTAAAAAAATACTTTATACGGTTTTTACTGTAAGAATGGAACCCAAATGGAGTTTTTGTCAGGGTTAGCTCGCTTCTGCAGAAATTTGTCCCCAAAATATGCTTAAATATGTAACGTTACACACAGACAGACAGACAGACACACACACACACACACACACACACACACACACACACAGACAATTATATTAGCTGGTTATAGTGACTGTATTTAAACAAAGCCGCAACAGAGCTGGTCATATTTAACTTATGGCTAAATTACAGTTATTTCAGTCCCAAAACTACAGACACGCAGATAAATATCTCTGATAATGACTGACTGAGTTTGAGACTCTTAACTCACCAAACCGCGATACACACGCAGTTTCCTGCACTTTCCCTGATTCCAGCACGAGCGATCAGCCGCGTCAGGTTACCGTGGCAACCCAAACAGAGAGTGGGCGTGGCTCAGCTGTGCTGCAGGCGTGACACACACAAAAGACTAAAGGAGAACTGTACTGATAGTAACTATTATAAGTTATAGCCATAACTAGTATCACATTCACATTAGCGGACGATGTCGCTCTGTACGCTCAGAGATCCGCTAAGTATCTAAACACACATCTTCAAATGACAAAAAATAATTTCTCACTCAAACACCACCAATCATTGTGTAAAGCTCCTAGTGTTTCATGAGTAACAGTGTGTTTGGATTTTAATATTACATAGTGCAATATAGCCTATGTATTGTTTTACACAAAAATAAGTTATCAATTAAATAAACGAATTCAGCAAATTTATTTAATAAGCTCACTCTAACTTAGTGGCATAGCCAAATAAATCATAATGGTTCTATGGCTAGGACCTGTAGTTCCTAGAAGGGTTAGGTTTATCTCTATGGTGGACCCGTCCCCGACTCATCCTTCACCTAACCCTAACCCCTCATCGACACGACAGCCATCGGCACTGATCCTCAACAACTCTTTCTTGTAGCTCAAACAGTACAGTGTTGGCGCTTGCAACGCCAAGGTCATGGGTTTGATTCCTAGGAAAAGCAAGAACTGACAGAATGTAAATGTGTACCTTGAAATGTAAGTCGCTTTGGATAAAGGCGTCCGCCAAATGCATAAATGTAAATGTAAACTCGTCTCCATACCGGCGTGATAACTCCAAACAGATGGAAATGGACAAATACTCTTAATCTTCCGATCCAACCTGACTTGTAATGCTGCCTGAATCACACACTGTTCCTTCGTTGGCCAGATGAGAACTGAGTGACTGAAACGTTGTTGTGGCAGATTTCCAGTCCCAATTCAAATCATCAAAGTCTGGTTCAGGTCTTGAAGAAATTGCTCAAAGTCGAGGCTTTAGGTCTCAGAAGAAATAACTTTATTGAACAGTTCAACAAAGTGAGATGCCAGCTGGCCATCTGATCTTACAATGGTCTGCACTCATTTCTTATACCTTGTGGTAGCCAATTAGCACTTAAATCGTTATCTTTTCTCTCTTTGCTCCTCCTTATTACTCCTCCCAGATCACCTGCATCATTATTTTATTTTTAATTGGGGCAAACTTCTTTGCGCATGCTTATCTCCTTCCAGATTAAAAACTCCTGCATCATTATTTTATTTTTAATTGGGGCAACCTTCTGGCGCATGCGTATCTTTTTAAAAATGGCTTTATACATGATTTTCAGGTACTTTTCCATGCCCTTTCACCCAGTTTCTTCTCCTGTCCTTACTTGACTTGCCTTTGCTCGGCATTACCTCATTCAGACACATGCACACTTCTCTCACATGTACATAGGACAAGCAGAATTCTCCAACAACGTGAGTCACTGTAAATCCAAACATTCACTCGTCAGTCACTGGAGATTCAAACATTCACTCGTCAGTCACTGGAGATCCAAACATTCACTCGTCAGTCACTGGAGATTCAAACATCCACTAGTCAGTCACTGGAGATCCAAACATTCACTCGTCAGTCACTGGAGATTCAAACATCCACTAGTCAGTCACTGGAGATTCAAACATCCACTCGTCAGTCACTGGAGATTCAAACATTCACTCGTCAGTCACTGGAGATCCAAACATTCACTCGTCAGTCACTGGAGATCCAAACATTCACTCGTCAGTCACTGGAGATCCAAACATCCACTCGTCAGTCACTGGAGATTCAAACATCCACTAGTCAGTCACTGGAGATTCAAACATCCACTCGTCAGTCACTGTAAATCCAAACATTCACTCGTCAGTCACTGTAGATTCAAACATTCACTCGTCAGTCACTGGAGATTCAAACATCCACTCGTCAGTCACTGTAAATCCAAACATTCACTCGTCAGTCACTGGAGATTCAAACATCCACTAGTCAGTCACTGTAGATTCAAACATTCACTCGTCAGTCACTGGAGATTCAAACATCCACTAGTCAGTCACTGTAGATTCAAATATTCACTCGTCAGTCACTGGAGATCCAAACATTCACTCGTCAGTCACTGGAGATCCAAACATTCACTCGTCAGTCACTGGAGATTCAAACATCCACTAGTCAGTCACTGAAGATTCAAACATCCACTCGTCAGTCACTGGAGATTCAAACATTCACTCGTCAGTCACTGTAGATTCAAACATTCACTCGTCAGTCACTGGAGATTCAAACATCCACTAGTCAGTCACTGGAGATTCAAACATCCACTCGTCAGTCACTGTAAATCCAAACATTCACTCGTCAGTCACTGTAGATTCAAACATTCACTCGTCAGTCACTGGAGATTCAAACATCCACTCGTCAGTCACTGGAGATTCAAACATTCACTCGTCAGTCACTGGAGATTCAAACATTCACTCGTCAGTCACTGGAGATTCAAACATTCACTCGTCGTCAGTCACTGGAGATTCAAACATTCACTCGTCAGTCACTGGAGATCCAAACATTCACTCGTCGTCAGTCACTGGAGATCCAAACATTCATATATATATATATATATATATATATATATATATATATATATAACAATTCTGAGAGATCTCACTCTCTTTAAAGTGGTCTGAAAATTTCTTATGATTATAGTGTTTGGATAAAACATGATGCATTCATAGGTTAAAAAAAGGGCTTTATTTAAAACAATGTATAAAATCAAGTATGTAAAGAGCAATATGTACATACATGTAGATTCACAGGACCAAAATGAATGCTGTACATAAGTGCAAAACTCATGAGAAGTTCATAATTAAAAACAAACCCACACAGAGGAACACAAAATACACACACACACTCTCACGCATGCATATACACACACACACACAGAGCCGCCTCACGTTGCATCTGCTCTGAGCGCTGCCCGGCAGCACGTCACTCCAACATTTGGCCGACACACACACACACACACACACCTCAAGTTGCGTCTGCTCTGTCCAGAGTTTGGCTGACATACATACACACACACACACTCACACACTCAGAGCCGCCTCACGTTGCGTCTGCTCTGAGCGCTGCCCGGCAGCACATCTCTCCGGCTCCGGCGTTTGGCCGACTGGTGCGCGCAGTCTCTGGCCCCGTGGAAGGAGCTCGAGCACGCGGTGCAGAAGCGGAAGCGGCAGTCGCTCCAGCTACACACACCCTCGGCGCGCAGCGAGTGACAGCGGGCCGGGTGCTCACAGCGAGGACACGGCTTCAGGTGCTCGTCACTGAACAGGGTTTCTGCCACCTGAGGGTCCACACAGAGAGAGACGTTAGTACCAGTCAACAGGTAACCATTTGGCAGGTAGGGGTGGGCGATATAGCCTCAAAATTATAGCACGATATTTCAAAAATATGTGCGAAATTGATATTTATGATGATATAGAAGAAAATAAATAGAATTTTATTGATTGCAGCTGGCAGTCAGCATAATTTATTATTGAAAACAAAATGCATTTTTCACCCTTTTCCAATGAGCTACTGTCATTGACAACACCTAATTTGAAGTGAATCTACTGTCATAAGGTGGCAGTAACAGCATTATGGTGCAATAGTGACAGAGACACAGCATGAGTGAAGTGAAAGCAAAGTAAAAAGTAACCTTGGAACAAGTCACTCGTGTTTTCCCTGTATATTCCCCAAGTAAAAGTATAACATAACTCCTTAACATTTAAATTTAACAATAACTAAAGTAATTTAACCTTGTAACTCTTCTCGAGCCTGCACAATAGTCACCAACTAAAATTGACCAAAACTGTTAGTCCCTGTAAAGTCAATTCTACAAAAAATTCTAAACACATTATAAACGTTACAAATGTATTGCTAAAACATATTACAAAGACTGTGAACTGTAAAGTACTGAATTGTGACCATTAAACAGTTTTTCCCCCATTGCCATTTTACAGATTTTTTGGGCGGGACTAAAACAGGGCTCGATGACGCACTGGAGCCCCTGAGCTCGTGGACACGCCCCCACTTGATGACATACTGAGGCCCCTGAGCTCGTGGACACGCCCCCACTTGATGACGCACTGGAGCCCCTGAGCTCGTGGACACGCCCCCACTTGATGACGCACTGGAGCCCCTGAGCTCGTGGACACGCCCCCACTTGATGACATACTGAGGCCCCTGAGCTCGTGGACACGCCCCCACTTGATGACGCACTGGAGCCCCTGAGCTCGTGGACACGCCCCCACTTGATGACGCACTGGAGCCCCTGAGCTCGTGGACACGCCCCCACTTGATGACACACTGAGGCCCCTGAGCTCGTGGACACGCCCCCACTTGATGACGCACTGGAGCCCCTGAGCTCGTGGACACGCCCCCACTTGATGACGCACTGGAGCCCCTGAGCTCGTGGACACGCCCCCACTTGATGACATACTGAGGCCCCTGAGCTCGTGGACACGCCCCCACTTGATGACGCACTGGAGCCCCTGAGCTCGTGGACACGCCCCCACTTGATGACGCACTGAGGCTGATCTCTCCCAAACAATAGAGCACATTCACATCAGTTCGGCGCTCAATACGCTCTATGCACGAAACCCTGCTGACGTATGTCCGAAAGAATCTCAGCCAGCTGCTTTTACGTCCGCTAGCGCGTTCTGCAGGCAAAGTATATAGAGGCAAAACTTTAATAAAATTCATTTTCTTAGAAACGGAGACAATGATTTTAGAAACTGATTCACTAGTCGGATTTCGCACGATATGAGAGAATACTCGCCCTCAAAGTTGTTGATGTAGCTCGAAATATATAATTTAAATTAATTCTCTTTTTTACACTAATGTGTGATGGCTAACTGCCTCACAGTGTTGTCAACATCATTCACATTAACCGCAGAAAGTTTTCGTAAACAGCGAGTGTAATTTGACACCATCTCCACCTAACGCAAAACCGGCTTCTGACGCAGCACCGGATGTAACTGGGCGTGCTGACAGGGCCGGCACTAGCCATTTGGGTGCCCTAAGCACAAATGCTTGGTGGCCCTGGATCATTTGCACAACTACTAGCGACGCCCCCCTGGACATGCATGCACGAAGCAAGGGCGCCTACAAAACTAACACTTTTATTTAAAACATTGTCTTAACTGCAAGCGAGTATTATCCCGCTGTCTCTTCTTTTCCCCTTTTTCCGCCCCCGACTTTTGGTGCCTTTTCGAGGCCATGTCTGATGTCGATCAGGTGTCTGCCAAATTTGACACTGATTGAGGAACAGACCACTGCAAGGTGGGGAAGGGGGGGCACCAGAGGGAGACTGGCACAGGAGATTCACCTTTTTCTCCAATTTGGTCTAGCCTAGGCATATTACTTTTGTATTGCTTTTGTATATTAACATGCTTTAGACATATTTTATTTGTTATTTATACTAGTAGCCTATTGTGATGATTTTTCACGACCCAGATTTTTTGGTGCCCCCCCAAGCACTTCGTGCCCTACGCGCAGTGCGTGATGTGCGTGTGCGGAGCGCCGGCCCTGCGTGCTGAGACAAACCCGGAAGCGATCGTGCATAGAGCCTATTGCGAGTTACTGTCAGTACTATTAGTACTACAGCCTACAGTTTGCTAGCTAGCTATGCCTTCGACACGGAAATGCATAGGCTACTACATGGATGAGATCATAAACAAAACAGATCGGTGTCTTTATTTAAATTTCCTAAAAACGATCACATCAAGAAGAGGTGGATTAATTTTGTGTAGAGCCAACCTTGATGAAAAGCTGAGGATCACCGCCAACACCCGCCTCTGTAGTGATCATTTTACACGGGATCGTTTTATAAACTTTCTTTAGAGACAACTGGGATTCACTGATAATCCGCAGGTGAACGAGGCCGAAACGACTATCCTCCCGTCCCGAAAGCAGTATCAGCTAATATCACCGTCGACAGCTTTCCCGCTAGTGGGCGTGGTTTCAGCGCAGCCAGCAGACACGCCCCCACAGTGGACACGCCACCAGCGTTTGAGAGCAGATAATACTACTAATTTTTTCAAGATTTTGAATGGGTGGGTAACAGTGATGCGCGGGTTGATCCGAAATGAGCGGGTGCCTGCGGTCACCCGCGGTTACCCGCAGTTACGGGTCATCCAAAAATGTTTTTAATGATATTCGGGTCGCGGTCGGTCGGGTCGTTTGAAAAAAAGATGCCAATTAAACATTTGTATTAGTACTAGACACAATTTTTGATGAAATACACAGCCCTACACATTATTGGCTGAACAACTGGCACGAAGATAACACACAAGCTCAGTTTAAACAGTTCTCGGTTCTATTCGAGAACCGCTGTCCCTGTGCGTTCGGTAGTACGCAGTATCTATGCGCAGTATCAGCTGCTCGTGCTCATCACTTCTCTCAACAGTGGCACCAACATGTCTCGGTTCAGTGAACTGTTGGAGTTACTGGAGTAAAATAGAATTCAGGATATTGATTTATTTCGATTCGGAGGCGACTGTCAGGCATGTCTGAAAGTAAGTAACTAACTTGTGGAGCAGCACTGACGCAAGACGCGAACTTTTTCGAACGATTCAGTTCGATTTAGTGTAGGTTCGACCGGTTCACTAAAAAGAACCGGTTCAAAAGAACGATTCGTTCACGAACCGGCCATGTCTGTGATCACTACAGTCTGCAGAGAGATGGAGGCGGCAAGAGAAAAGGTGAAGACTGGGGAGTGGAAGCTCGCAAATACACAAATAGAAAGAGTAAAAGTGTGGGAGACATTTGCTGAAATAATGAAAGATGATGACCAAAGTACTGGCTTTGCCTTTGTTATGTGTAGGCAAGGCCTACGTCTTCTTGCGATGCTGTGTTGTTACACGTCTATGGCCCAATAATGCTCCGATGAGCATTTACTACTTTTAAAAAATGCGGTCAGGAAGCGGGTCGGGTACAATATTTTTTTACTTTTTTTTGCGGTCCGAGTTCCGGGCGGGTAGTTGAAAATGTCGGTCGGTTGCGGTTTGTTTATACATTGACCCGCGCATCACTGGTGGGTAATAACACATTTTTCTGTGGTGTGACAAACTCAGAACACATACTTAATTGACCCTTCGCTAAGCCACGCCCGAAAACCGCCACTGGCCAATCATGTCTTAGCAACCGTAACTATGCGCGAGAGGTCTGGCAAGCTTTCGAACGAGGGAAACATGCTGAAGCATTGTGCATATGGATTGTGCAAATCTGATACCGGTATACTAAAAGTTTGGACGGGGGAGAGGAATCGTTTTCCTTCCAGAAAATCTAAAAGCCAAGGGGAGAAATGATTGGCGTGATCTAGCATCTATGTGTGAGACCCATTGTGGTAAATGTCGACATGCTTAACAAAAACACCTATTGCTTGGAAATATTGACCGTTCTTTGGTCATAATGATATAACGTAAAATAAGACGATTAAAGAGACAAGACAAAGGCTCACTGACATACTTTAAAATATATTTCAGCATTTTGTTAATCGACGTCCTACTAATGTTACCCCTTAACTTAACCCAATCCGATCGCGGCTCTCCCAGTATTAGTGTTATTCCACAAGATTTATTGATAAGCTGTTTGATTTATAATTATTAGGATTATTTTCACATACCCTGCTGTTTATGAACATAGCTGTTCCTCAATTTGTGTTTCCCCATTTGAACGGAGGCGCTGCTGCTTGCGCTGGGACTATAACGTTAGGCTTTAACTTCAATTTTTAAGAAATTATTCTCTAATCGGTTGCATATAATGTCGTGAATATATCCCTCGAATGTGTACTGTAGTCCCTTTTGTCTTGCTCTCTCAGATATTTCACTTGTTCGCCAAAAATTACTAATTATCTCATTGGGAATGTCTGACACCGGTGCATACACACTGTAATAGATGTGTCAGCCGCGAAAGCTTGACAGGCGTAGCAACAGTAACTAGGGAGGGTGGGGCTTAGCGAAGGGTCAATTGTGACTTTACAGGGACTTTAAGTACAAATGTAAACAAACAGCAGCAATCCAAACAAACCTTCAAAATGGGTTTATTGCAGTCCATCATCACTGAGAAGTTTTGATCGCAGATTTAGTCGCAGCAAACAGTTCGAGCAGCTTGTGAAGGAACACAAACACACACTGACCAAATGACACTTCATTTAAGCGGAAAATCTCAAATGGAGATCACTAAACTGCAGGTCAGTTGTTTTCCTGTTTTCAGATCACCAGCGCTTCTTCAGCAGTGTAGAGCGCAGGGTTGCCAAATTGCAAAGATTAGGTAAAACACCAGAAACAAATTGTTGTCTTTTAACAGAAAAGCTCTGATTGGGAGATTTAAATCTGGCAACCGCATGCATGAATGCTCGTAAAGGGGCTTGTTAAACAGTCTGTTATTTTTTGTCGTCTGTTTAAATTTCCCTGATAAAAAAGTGGTTTTGGTCAAGTTTTTATTTTTTAACTACATGTAGACTTGTCTTTCATCAAGGATATTGCATGATTAAGTCAGTTATCATTTAATGGCATTGGTGTCATCTTGTCTTATCATGGATAAAAAAAAAAGGTTGTTTACAAATATTTTTCGTCATAGATTTCGTTAACGAAACGAACACTATCAGTAGATGCTGGTTAGCTTACGGGGTAGAACAGGTGCGCTCACTCAAGACTGCCACACAGAGGACAGTCATGCTTTCGCTCTAGGACATTTTTCATATCGCAGCCATTATTAACTAATTGCAACGTTTTAACGATTTAAAACGTTGCAATTAGCTAATAATGGCTGTGATAGGAAAAATGTCCCAGAGCGAAAGCATGACTGTCTTCTGCCCGATTGCGATTTGATTAATCGTTCAGCCCGAGGTCTGACCTCTTGTAACCAAATCACTTCCATACTATTGAAGTAGCTCCTTTTTAGGTATCGCGTCGTGATTGGAGGCTGACATGCTGCCCTTACTCTCAGACAGGTGTTGTGCGCACTGGGGTGTTATCGTGGACGGTGTGATATGGCACACCTCTACTGGCAGGTTCTCTCAACGTTAGGAAATAAACACTCTTCCAGTACGTTACGGAGCCGAAACAGACTCCGACGCTTGATGATAAATAACCTTTTACCTCTAGATGGTTGAGAACATAGTTCAGAGTATAATCCCATCTGGGACACACAGGTGAAGAGATCTGGCATGATCAGCACAGGTGAATAAACATGATCAGGGGAGCTCGCACCTGCAGGAACTGCCTGCGTCTGGCGCTGGCGTGGGTCGGGGTGACGGGCGGGGGGGCGAGGGGTGTTCGGGCCTGAGCCTGTACGCTGCCCAGAGCCGACCTGCACACCAGCGCCGCCCTGGTGTCCGCATCCGGAACATGAGCCGGCTTTCCTCCCTACAGAGACACACACAGGAAAGCTCAGCAATACATCCTTCACTGTACCGACCTCAATAATTTAATAATCTAAATTATTATTCGTTGAGTGCGTTTCCATGCATGCTGAGAGAGAGTGTGTGTTGGTGTGAGTGTGTGAGAGTTAGAGTGGTTGTGTGAGAGAGTGAGGGAGAGTGTGTGTGTGTGTGTGTGAATGAGAGAGAGTGTGTGAGAGTGAGTGTGTGTTAGTGTGAGTGTGTGTGAGAGAGTGAGTTAGTGTGAGAGTGAGTGAATGAGAGAGTGTTAGTATGAGAGTGAGTGTGTGAGAGTGAATGAGAGAGTGTGTGTGTGAGAGTGAGTGTGTTAGTGTGAGTGTGTGTGAGAGATAGAGTGGTTGTGTGAGAGAGTGTTAGTGTGAGAGTGAGTGTGTGTGAGTGAATGAGAGAGAGTAAGAGAGAGTGTGTGTGTGTGAGAGTGAGAGTGTGTTAGCGTGTGTGAGTGTGAGAGAGTTAGAGTGGTTGTGTGAGAGAGAGAGAGTAAGAGAGAGTGTGTGCAGGGTTCCACTTTTTAAAGTCAAATTTAAGGCTTTTTAAAACATGAAGAAATCAAAATTAATTCCGTACATTAGGGGTGTGCAATATTGACAAATATATCTAGATATTTTCAACGTTTTGTTGGTAATAATTAGATGATCTTTTACTGATTGTGTTTTTGTGTTGGTGCATGGCTGGTTTAGGCCTGGTGTTGACAGCAGACTCGCGGAGATATTAATATTGTTCATATTCTATGCAGTGGTCAGTTCATAGCAGTGACAGAAATGATTAACTACCGGTAATGTGCAATATTTGCAGAGGTGACACAGAAGCAGCATCAGATTGGCATTAATATTTACACTCCATTTACAATTACATGAATAAAGCTATTAGGCTTTTTTCAAATCAATATTCAATATTTAAATATGAAATTATTTCTAACTTTAACGTTTTACTTTAAATATGAATTGTAACTAAAACCGCCAGTAGGAGGTGGCAAGTCACCGTCTTAATAAGCAAGTTGAGGGAGTCATTCAATCAACCGATTTGTTCAAACGGGTGAGTTATTCCGGAAATTGTTCATTGAATTGTTAAAATGATTCGTTCAAAACGTGGATTTCATTTAAGAAATCATCGCTGTCTGTTGCATTGAGACTCTGCTATGGTTTCATTTTGAAATTCTAGTCAGCGAAATAAAGGGAAAACAAACGATATTGATAATGTTATGTCTAAAAACTTAGAGAGAGTGAGTGTGTGTGTGAGTGAGAGAGAGAGTGGTTGTGTGTGTGTGTGTGTGTGTGAGTGAGAGTGAGTGTGAGTAAAGCGCCTTTACTGTGAATTGAAGAACGAGTGTTTGGAGGCAGTAAATATAAAATCGCAAACTCTGACTCTCAGACTGAAGAAATGTTGAATGTGTTCTGATCTCTTGCAGCCGAAGATATTAATTTGATTAACATCACATCTCTCATAACAAATGCACTAAAGCTTAGCTTGTGAGGTCACTAAATATTAAAATCCTGTAGAAACGGTTGACTTGCGTCGCTGGGTTTGCATGTAAACCGGGTTAATTCAATAAGCTGATATTTGGGAGTGTGTAAACAGGCTGAGACGGAATGGAAAATTTCTGCGTTTATGATAACTGGACGCCACTCACATTCAACATGAGGTCACGTGACAGTGCAGTACTGGACAGTTTTATCTAGAGTTTCACCTCCAGTGTTAGGGAGATCTTGAGCTCTCGGATGTGGCATCTTCTCCTGTGAGCGGCTCTCCGGTCTTCAGCGATGACGTCGCTCCAGTCCTCACACACCTGGCCGAACCTGCAGCGATCGCACGTCATTAACCGCTTCACACACAGAGTGATGAGGAATATCTGCCGTCACTGACCTGTAGATGTCGGCTGCAGACAGAAGACTCAAGATCACCGCTAGCACGTGTCTCAGATTCCTCATCCTCAGTTCGGAGATCACGTCCACCTTGTCGAGGCCCATTTTGCGGCCGATGAGCCCCGAGAGCGGCAGGCTGGTTCTGACGGGCCCCTCCAGCAGCAGGTCCTCCAGGCTCGACCCGTGGCGGCTGATGGAGAGCACGGCCTGTAGCGCTGGTGTCAGCGACAGATCCTGCATCTGCAGCGTAGCGGCGCTCAGCGGCGTCCCGTCCAGGAACACCTCGTCCTTGTGCGGGTCGGCCCGCGGGCCTCTGGGCCCGTCCTCGGACTGAGAGCCTCCCTCCCGGAGCGTGGACAGTCTCCGCTGCCTCTCCAGCCGCGAGCGCCTCTTCTCCCGCCCGCTCGAGCCAGGCAGAACCAGCTCCTGGAACGAGCCCTCATGGTCCACCGAGGAGTCGTGCGATCTATCCAGACCCAGAGAGCTGAAGCCACTGTCCTCCAGGGGCGTGTCTGGGGGCGTGTCCAGAACCTGCTTCCCTGTGCGCACCGGGGACTGGAAGTTCTCCTTCGCCAGGTCATGTGTGTGAGGGAAGTTGTCCTCCGTCAGGTCGTGTGTGTGAGGTGAGCTCGGAGGACCGGCTATGATGCTCTCGTCCGGGTCCGGTTCGGTGAGGCTCGTGTGGGTTAGGGTCACGCCGCTCCTGCCCGACTCCAGCGTGGACGTGACGACCTGGGAGAACAGAAGACGCCGCTTCCGACACGAGAACACAGAGTCATCCGCTTTTAAAGTGCTGTAAGACAGAGGCCCGGTCCGGCCGATGTCCGGGGAGTCGAAGCTCTCGCGGGTCAGGTGATCCGGTGTGGTGAAGCCACTCTTACTACCTTCGGATGAGGAGCGGGACACAAGCAAGCGCCTGCGGAGCGACCCGTCCTTCCGGGTCAGCTTCGGTGTCTCGCACCAGGCTATCGGAGCGGCCCGTTCTGTGATCGAGTCCCTGGACCGGGCCTGGTCTCTGTGCAGAACAACCGTGGCTTTGGTGCCGTTGGGATGGCGCTCTCTCCTGGGCGTAAAGACACGGTCCAATTGGCCGCTGCCGGGAACCTGCGCAGCCTCCATTATCGTCAGCTTCAACCAACACTCGCTGGACCCAACAGTGCTGTCAATCAACACAGGCAATTAAAAGTGAATCTGTGCATTTCATTTATAGATAATTTCACAACCCTTTATTTACAGGAGATATTGATTCTAAATTATGCATCATCAGTTCACATGAATCATGATTGTGATCAATTCATTTTCTGGTAATCTTGAATCAGAATATTCCTCTTGAAAGCAGGGCGGGGCAACTGTCACTCACATGAGATCAGCCAATAGCAAACCATAACCAATCAATTCCCCACCACAGACACGATCATGTTTCATGCCGACTTCAAAGGGTAAGTTCACCCAAAAAAAGCACAAATGACGTTATTTTAAATTAAATCTGAGATTGCCATCCCTCCACCTGTGGTGTCAAGACAGGATTTACATTTTACCACTTTGATGCTGCAAAAGATCATAAAGAGATTGTAAAAAAAATCCATATGAATCTAGTGGTTTCGTCCATATTTTCTGAAGAGACATGCTCACTTTATATGATGAACAGATTCAATTTAGGTTTTAATTCACAGACTTAACACATCAGTTGTGATAAACAGAAGCTCAAGCATTAGAACCAATGAGCTTCATCATGTTATGAGAGTCGCCAACGAGCCAGAATTGTCATATAATTATTTCCATTATGTGGCTTTTATATATTTATATAAAAGTCTGTCTGTCAGAAATTATTTCAAAGTAATGTCCATTTGGCAATGATTTACAGCTATAAAATAAGACATGTTATGTTGGTAACTTAATGTCATGTAAAGTTAGCCTATTCAAACACAATGCACGTGTGCTAATGATTTCAATGAATGTAAGGATAATAATAAAGATACCAGTAAGGGAAGTTTCAGTCAGAAATATCAGAAAAGCCTGGAGAAATTCAGCGTTCAGGTTTAGAAATCTTCCACCGTTCAGACTGTGTGTATTTATGATAACGTTATTATCTATACATTCGGGTCTGGCAACAGGAGTCGGTTATGGTTGCTATGGTGACGCGTTGAGCGGTTTCCCTCCTGCAGATTCAAACTTCGCGCTCGTGCACGACAACACAAACACACACTACTTTATTAAGGCATTTATAAGAAGCACGATTTGTTTTAAACAGTTTTTGTGAAGGAACATGCGATTTACGCCTCGCCGCTGACTGAAAAATGCCGGAATGAGAGAAAAACAAACGACACACCGTCAGTCAGCTGTGGCTCATCAGCCGGGCGTTCTCTCACACACACACACACACACACACACACACACTGAGGGCTGTGACACGTTTAACGACGAAAACTTCAGATTGAGAAAAACTTAATTCATTAGTAAACCCTGTAAACAAAAGACTGCGTTACTTACGCGTGTGACGTGTCGGGTCAGAGTTTCATGCCACTGACTGCTGCTCAGGGAGAGAGAGAGAGAGACGGTGAGCAGCGGGTCAGTGAAGCTCCACCTTTCAAATTTCGTACCCATTTCACTGATTGGACGCGGATTTAAAGAGACTAGTTATGACTCGGAATCATTTCAACAATCGAACATAAAATATTTAACTCAAAAGGGTCAGATTTATTAATGAGATGTCATGGATTTCGAAAATGTTACAAATAAACATAACGTTAACTTACTTGCCTTTTTTCTGATGAAATACATTTTAATTTTATAATTTCGTCCATTGTCATTCTGAATAAAGAAAATTCCATATATAACTGGAAAAATATTACAAAAGAAAAGTTGATATACTATAATTTATAATCTTAAAAATATCGATTACTTTAATTTGGTGAAGTCATTGGTCCATCCTGAGCAGCGCTGAGAAATTTTTCGGTTGTCACGTGACAGATCGGCTGGACTCTACTGACGAGTGAATATTTGAATCTCCAGTGACTGACGACTGAATGTTTGAATCTCCAGTGACTGACGAGTGAATATTTGAATCTCCAGTGACTGACGACTGAATGTTTGAATCTCCAGTGACTGACGAGTGAATATTTGAATCTCCAGTGGCTGACGAGTGAATGTTTGGATCTCCAGTGGCTGACTAGTGGATGTTTGAATCTCCAGTGACTGACGAGTGAATGTTTGGATCTCCAGTGACTGACGAGTGAATATTTGAATCTCAGTGACTGACGAGTGACTGTTTGGATCTCCAGTGACTGACGAGTGAATATTTGAATCTCCAGTGGCTGACGAGTGAATGTTTGGATCTCCAGTGACTGACGAGTGAATATTTGAATCTCCAGTGACTGACGAGTGAATGTTTGGATCTCCAGTGACTGACGAGTGAATATTTGAATCTCCAGTGGCTGACGAGTGAATGTTTGGATCTCCAGTGACTGACGAGTGAATATTTGAATCTCCAGTGACTGACGAGTGAATATTTGAATCTCCAGTGACTGACGAGTGAATGTTTGAATCTCCAGTGACTGACGAGTGAATGTTTGAATCTCCAGTGACTGACGAGTGAATGTTTGGATCTCCAGTGACTGACGAGTGAATATTTGAATCTCCAGTGACTGACGAGTGAATGTTTGGATCTCCAGTGACTGACGAGTGAATATTTGAATCTCCAGTGACTGACGAGTGAATGTTTGGATCTCCAGTGACTGACGAGTGAATGTTTGAATCTCCAGTGACTGACGACGAGTAAATGTTTGAATCTCCAGTGATGAGGCTGAACACCACAGACACCAAACTGATTACACAACCAAACAACTGATGTCAAGCTGATGATACATCTTTAAATATCCCATGTTTTATTACAAAAAGCAGATTCATTATGAAGCAACAGACTCATATTTTCATTAGACCAGAATACAGGAGCGAATAATGCAATAAAAAACAGTAAATCATCTTCCTTGCATTGCTTATAAAAATAAAAAAATGAGAGGCCTTTTTTTGGTTTAAAGCATTACATTCACACAGAAAGCAGCTCTGGCTGATGTAGTGACGTCTCAATAAAGTGATGTGTGTAAATCAGATGAAGTCTGTGAGCGTCAGTGGAAGCCGATGCGCAGCGCTCTGTTCTTCACCATGGTGAACTTGCAGACGAACACGCGTGCGCAGGCCGGGTCTGCGTGATACTGGTATGTTCTGGAGACGGTGGGCGGCGGATCCGCGGGAGTGACGGGCGGCTGGTGACGCGACGACTGAGACGGAGACAGAAACTGAGACGCTCCGGTGACGAACTCCACCAGCCGACTGTACTGCAGCTCCGAGAGACGCTCGCGAGACCCGTCGGCCTGAGACACAGACATTGTCAATAAACATTTTATTATTTATATATAATATATTTTTGCTTTGGCAACATTGTGATACACAGTCAAGCTCAATTGAAATTGACAGAGAGAGAGACATAGAGATAAACTCTTTCAGAAGATGTATAATAACAGTGAAAACATGGAGTGCTGGAATGTTCGGTCAATGGCGTGGAAAGAGTACATTTCAAGATACATTTTTAAATCAAATGTTGTATCTGTTATTCTGCTATTCTATATAGTTTTGTTAAAGTACACGTACTGCATTAGATTAAAGTGGGAAGGGTCAGAGCACTTGCATAATGTTGTCCTATTGTTAGTTTCACTGCTTCTGTCGTTGGATAAAGCACCTACTAAATTAATAAATGTAAAATGCTAATGTAATAATAAAATAAAAATTAAAAAAAATAAAATCTGATTTAAAATATTACAGTTTTTCTCCATTGGTTTGGCTCATTTCTTGAAACAGAAATTACATTCTCAAAACAACATGGACAAACCTCCAAACTACTTGGCAATAATTGTTCACAACAGAATTGAATTTATCAATCAGTTCATCAAATTGCAAATGCCTAAGTACATGTCTCAATGTCTCAGTACATCTTTGCAAATGATTAAGTACAGGTAGCCTACATTTAGCACAATTTCCAAGTGAATAGATCTTGTTGATCTAAACTGATTGTTGATTCTCAGTCTAATGGTTGTTCACTCCAAAACGTGTCAGCGTCATTTCATTGTATAAGTCATCACATGCACAATAGTCTGTTCAATTGTCAAAATTAGTCAAGAACATAATACCATGAATACCATATATATGAATCCCTTGGAACATTTTAAACATTTATTACAGTAATTGACAGGACTTGACAAACGAAGGAGGATCTAACTAATGTAAATCTGTCTAATACTGTGGGTTTTACTGTAACATTTCAGTAAGTCTAGTCATTGATGATTTCCCCCTCCCCTTTCTGTCAGATACCCCCTGTAGTATGTCTGCATAGGGGTCCATGTACCCCAGGTTTGGAGCCACTGGAGTAGTGGCCACTGGCCAGCAGAATATTGAACTTGTGGAGAACATTCCTGTGTATTTGGAGGTGTGTCCATGTTGTTTTGAGAATGTATTTTCTTTTACCTCTGATGTATGGAAGTTACTTTATGTGTGTGAATGATAATGGTTAAATTCCTTGGCAATATGAGTACAATGTGTGATGTCAAATCTTGGAGGCAACTCTTACCCTAAAATTCAGTTTTATACACAATAGTATTCTGTGAGCTAGACAAAAAACAGTACAGTAACCATTGTCAATGAAGGGCTGGGCTAAGACTGAAAGGTGTCCTCTGCCATAGTGACAAAACATCTAAACATTTTGGCTTGCAGTGCTTACACAATGCCAAAGGGACAAAGCATTTGGGGGCACTGACTGGTTAAATGAGAAGGAAATTTAGTTTTTCCACATGAGTGAACTGTTTTGGGAGAGGTATGAGCTTTTGCAGATGAACCATCCACGTTTTTTGGCAAGAGCACCAAGAGTGTTGAGAACGTCCGGTCTTTTTCGAGAAATGAGCCAAAGCTATTGAGAAGGATCTTTGCCATTTTTGTGGCACTGACTCTTTCTATGGGAAATGAATTTAGTTTTGAAGCATGAGTGAACATTTTTGAAAACAATGTTTTGCCATATGATCTTAGAGTTTTGAGAAAGTAATTTCTGTTTCAAGAAATGAGCCAAACCAATTGAGAAAAACTGTAATAAAAACTATAATAGTATCTCAATGATATTAAAATAACACTGTTTCATTTGGCAACATTAACAACAGTTAATTAATGCTGAAAAGTTTTAGTTTATGTTTGTTGATGCATTAAATAACGTCAATAAATCAGGCCTGAAAAGTTTTACCAAAAATTCTTCAGCAATTTTTCCTCTCATTTGGTGCTTATTTTTATTACTGTTGAGTTCCTGAAGAGTGCCAAAAATAAAATAGAACAAATAATATAAACTAGTATTGTGACACAAGTATGTGCAGAGATGTGTGTGTGTGTGTACCTCTGTGTCACTGGTCACATGGTGCTGCTGCAGTGTGAGTGTGATGCGTCCAGGCATGTGTGTGTCGTGTTCACACTGGATCTCAGTGATGGGAAAGGCCTGCTGCTGCGCGTCCTCACACACACTGACCACGAACAGAACCTCTCCGCTCAGCAGGAGACAGCCGGCGTGTTCCTGACCCGACCCGCTCACCATACACACATCCAGAGCCATGTGCAGCTCGGGGCGGCCCAGAGACTGCAGCATCTTCCTGCACACACACACACACACACGGCCTGAGTCGCAGGGCATTCTGGGGGATCACCCTCAGAATCAGGGTTTCACAAAAAGATTTAAATCATACAAATGTCAAAAAAATTAATCATTTTACAACAATAACTATCAAAATATAACGTATTAAAAAATTATTCAATAAAAAAAATATTGTCAGTCAATTATTGAAATTGAAACTAATTTTAGTTTTAGTTTTTATGTTCTACAGGGTTTACACTTTATTACTGTTGATGCATCCAGTCGTTCATAATTAGAGGATAAAGTTTATTTACCCTAACTATATTTTAAAAGCTTGACAGAAGAAAAATGTATATTTTTTACAGAAACTACCATGATTTTTAAATGAATAATTTCCATTACTTTTTTTCAGGTCTTGACTCATATATCCAGGTTCACTTTCGAAAGGGAACTTGCACTGCGTTGATGATGCTTTGGGTTCGCATTAACCGGTATTTGAAACGCTTATACAATTATGACGATCGATATGGACCGGCGACAGCCTATGACGTCACCCCTAGAGCGACCCGGAAGAATAACAGGGGCGCTAGAGAACATGCCAACCTCTTGTTTTATTTGTACGCTTCAACCTGAAACTTAAAAAAGGTAATCATGACTTGTGAAAAGCGCTTCGAGAAGTGTGTGGATCCGTGTCCGTGAGATATTTGACACCTGATGACACACGCGACTTGTGCGTTTAACGTTCGTGAGGGATCAGCTTCAGCCAACTGTGAGATTGACCCTTGAGAAGGGTGACGGGCATCGCATCGGATCGGGACAGAGACTGGGCTTTCAGAGGGAGCTCGCTGAGGAGTTTGGGAGAGTTGTTCATCTCTCACGGCCCCTGGAGGATGAGGAGGTGTTGTCACCGAGAGATAGGAGATGATGATGGGGTGCCTGTGTGTTAGTTATGATGATGGGGTGTTGTATGATGAAGATTGTACTCCCCTTGCTTTAAAGGGCCAATAGCACTTCTGCTGAGTACACTGCCTGATGGCACTGTTAAATAAGTATCCAGGATCCAGTAGAGCGTAGAGAGTGCAGAGGTCTGTGAGCGATCATTTTACATTTACATTTAGCAGACGCTTTTATCCAAAGTGACTTACAACTGAGGACTAAACCAAGCGAGTTATCGTGACGAGGCAAAAACAACACAAGTGCTCATAATACAAAGTTCAGACATTGCACGGGGCAGCGTAAGCCAGATAAGCAGGGATTTAAAAGAAAAGGATATTTTTGAGTTATGTTAAGTGCTCACGGAAGAGAAGAGTTTTCAGTCTTTTAAATCACTGCCACTAACTCTGGCCTCGTATCGGACGCGTGAGGCAGATACTGTCAGAGACTCTGTTCATGAAACGGACAGGTTGTTGGTCAGTAAATTAGACCAGGTCAGCCTCCCTGGTGGCATGTGGGGTTGACTTTAGTCCCTGGACTCCTTCGGTTCCCTCAAAGGAACCCTCTCCACGAAGCTGTTGGTTCCTGGCCCTGAGCGGCCTCGGCAGGCTTTCGTTGTATCGGAGGAGTGTTTGAGGCTCGTAGTTCGGGCGGTGGCCGTGGGGAATACCGTCAGAGACAGCCTGTGTCTATATCGACTGCCGTGATTGAATATAAGCGTCTCAGACACCGGTTCTCGCGGAGGTGTTCCCCCATAGCGCCATCAGTGCGAGTCCCGTTCTCAGGGAACACGTCCTAACCAGTGACGTTTTATGGTCCTGGTTGTGAATGAAGAGTTGGTTTACCAGACGTATTTGACGTGGCTGTTGGAGGCGTCGGCTGATCTGGAGTCTGTCGGCGGGTGCAGCTGTTTGGGAAGCTGCCAGAGACCCGCGCCGTGCAGCAGACCTGCCACACACACACACACACACGGGTCACTGCACACCAGCGCATCAACACACTGTCCTCCACGCATGTGCATGAACGCCTCATACCGTATCCCGTCTGCGACACCAGCTCAGCTGCTCCTCCGATTGGCTTGGTGAAAACTCCCACAATGCCTTTCCCCACCCCTGAGATGACGCCGCGGGCCGTGCTGCTCGCCGAGCTGGGCAGATCCAGCGTCCGTGTGAACGTCTGCATGGGCTGATCCACGATTCCTGCAACCGCGCCTACACACACACACACACACACCCTTTATTCTGTTATCGTTCTGCGGATCACTGTGAGGTTGCTGTGAATGATCTGTGTTGTATAAAGCACTCGAGAGTGTGTGTGTGTGTCTCACCCAGCAGGCTGATGCCCAGTCTGGACAGGCCTTGTCTCAGCCCGTCTCCCAGAGTCTCCGGCAGCTGCCGCCTCCACTCCTCCTGACGCATGTAATGCTCGTCGTCCAGCGACAGACGGTCCATGTTCCGCGCCAGACTCGTGGCCAGATTGGTGATGGACGTCAGAGTCCCTGTAGAGACACACACACACACACACACGTGTTGGCCAGTGAGAGGCACACATTACATTTACATTTGGCAGACGCTTTTATCCAAAGCCACTTGCATTGCATTTCAAGGTACACATTTTAGATTCTTATTAGTTCTCAGTTCTTGCTTTCCCTGGGAATCGAACCCATGACCGTGGCGTTGCAAGCGCCGACGCTGTTCTGTTTGAGCTACATGTCAACATCTGCACTGAGCTGCAGATACAAAACGCAGCAGGAGAATCAAACCATGTGGGACATTTTGTAAAAACATGCGAGTAGTTCTTGCCGTAGTAGTAGCTAGCGTGTTTTGGGGAGATTAGTGGAGGGTGTGACCTCTGAAACACATGGAGATCTTCAGAGATGGATGTGCACGCATCACATGTGTCGAGACTCTTCATTCACTAACAGGTAATCTGCGCAACACAGGTTTGTTCATTCAGTACTAACACCCAACTTAACAGCAGATGGAGACGGTCAATATTACAGACGGAGTGAGTGTGTGTGTGTGTGTGTGTGTGTTTCACCTTTAGAGATGTGTTTGATGAACGAGTTGGTTCCTCTGGAGACGCCGCTGATAAAGGCTCCCGGCCCGCGAGTCAAACCCTCGTACGGCAACCGGAAGAAATCTGACACGCCATTCCCGATACTCCGAACGAGACTGGCGGGACTGCCGAGAATCTCCAGAGACCCGACGACCCAACCTACACACACACACACACACACACACACACACACACATCAGCACATGTTGGTTTATCTGAAACACAGTGACTATAGAGTGACGCATCTGAAGCTTACGGATGTTCAGTTCTCAGGTGTGTGTGTGAGACGCACCTGCCCTGAAGAGCGCACCGGCAGCGTAGTGCATGGCGAGTGTGTGTACGAGCTGGCGTGAGGTGGTGCAGACGGGGCCGCGCTCGAACAGCGAGAACGACAGCGGCGTGTGGTCGGAGGCGATGTAGAGCTTCAGAGACGCGTGGATGGAGAGCAGCAGCTGAAGGGGTTCGACGGAGAGCTTCTGCAGGCGCAGCGGCGTCACCAGCGCACGCATCGACTCCAGCACCTCCCGCGGGAGCCCCGCCCCATCGCCACGCACAGCCAGGGTGCATTCTGGGATGTAGGTGTGGAGGAGAGTCTTCATGTAGTAGAGGAAGGTGTCCTCCAGATACACGCGCGTCGGGCGGATGCGCAGCGAGAGCCGGTCCAGCTGTCCGGAGCCGGACACCGTGAGGCTCATAGAGAAGAAGCAGGCGTGGCAGAACTCCTGCGGGGTCAGCGCGGGGTCGCCCGGGGTCAGCGCGGGGTCGCCCGGCGGCTCCTGGCACATGATGACGGGGAAGTGGAAGCTGGCGCGCTGGTACAGCTGGTTGTCCACCTGCAGGCCGCCGCAGAGCACCTGTACGGTGTGTCCGGTGTGTCCGGTGTGTCCGGTGTGTCCGGTGTGTCCGGTGTGGTCGGGTGGAGGGTCGATGGCTGGCAGCAGGAGCAGGAGTTTAGAGACGGTGAGACGCAGCAGCTCCACTGATCCGGACCGGCTGGTGATGTCATCACAGAGCGCCATGCTCGCCTCCGTCAGCAGAACCCTGAAGGACAGCATCGGACTGGACGGCCTGCGAGAAACACACACAGTCATCATGAAATCAAGAGACCATTCTGGTTTCCTGTTGAAGTATTGCAGTGTTTATTGTAAATGAATTATGGGTGCACATCATCATAATTGTGTTAATAATCTGATGGAGAGACTCCACACACACACGCAGCAGGAGTGTGTTGTACCTGAGGTGTGTGACGGCGTCTGCAGGGCTGCTCTCTGGCGCCAGCGTCAGTGTGATCGTGCCGCTCTGCTGGACAACATCGATGTACAAACAGCCGAAACCAGGAAGAAAAACAACCTACAAAACACACAGAGATCACGAGACTCAAACTTAATTATTTTATAGTGAGATTACAATAGGAATATTTGTTTTTTCGTTCAATGTTTTAAATTAATCATAATAGTTATAATAAAGTTGCGAATGCCAACAAAAAAGTACAATAAACCTGGAGCTATTTTTTATTATAAATCAAATTTTATATCAAAATGACAATTTTAATGAGGAAATTGACAGTATTTTCTCCTCAGGTCGTGCAGCTGTAGAGTCAGGTGGTGTGTGTGTGTGGTGGTGTGTGTATGGTGGTGTGTGTGTGGTGGTGTGTGTGTGTGGTGTTGTGCACCTGTGTTCCAGGACAACTGATGTCAAAGGCATCAGTCCAGCCTGTTGATGTGGGCGTGTCCGTGAGGCTGGCGGGCGTGTCTGAGGGAGAGGTGGGCGTGTCTGAGGGGCTGGGGGGCGTGTCCGTGATGATGCGCAGCTGCAGGGTGGGCAGCGTCTCTTTCTGTCGGCACTCAGGAAAACTGGAGGCCTGATAAAACAACTCATGATGGACAGAAGAAAGAGCAGGAACCGCCCGGCTGAACACCTCCGACCTCACAGGCTCTGAAACACACACACTTATGATCTTTAACACTGTATGTGTGTGTGTGTGTGTGTGTGTGTGTGTGTCTGTGTGTGGTGTGTGTGGTGTGTGTGTGTTACCCCTGATGTTCTCCTTCAGTAAGAGGCTCTTGGGGCAGCGGTTGTGAATCATCATTCGTGGACACTGATCTTCACTCACTGTCAGATACGTGACGCCCAGATGCTCCTGACAGGTCAGAACCAGAGGCCTGAAGCACACACACACACACACACACACACAGATGAGTCCCTTACTGATCACAGATGAGACGCCTGGATGTGTCATTAATGAACACCAGACTCACAGAATGAATGTTTGATCTCATGCGTTTCTCATCATGTCTGATCTCACACTCAGCCGAGTGTTTAGAGTTAAAGGTAAATTATTTATTTATTAGATGAGAACATTAGTTTCATCGTTCAGCTCAATTCAGTTCTATTGTTTAGAGCTGAATTTGTCTAATTACTGATGACATGCAATGTGAAGCTGCTTTGAAACTCTGTCGCCATCTTGAGGACTGAGGTGTGTTTGCAGCTGTAAAGTGTTTGCTGTGTTTCTGTCAGCATCATTTCTACAGCGCTTTATACAGTACAGATCTTTCAGAGCAGCTCCACAGTAATACTCAGGACAATAACAGAACCAATGATGGAACTCAGGAGATTCAGGAGTGAAGCAGCTCTACAGAAGATGGAAGAGTCATTGATCACTATAGTGTGTGTGTGTGTGTGTGTGTGTGTGTGTCACCTGGTGTTGAAGGGCCAGTGTGCGTGCGGCTCCACCGGCACAGGAACGCTCTGTCTGGGGAAGTCGGTTCGCACAGGAGCCGGCGGACTCCACTCGGCGCCCTCGAGGCTCAACAGAACCTGCTTGGACCTCAGCTGCTCGTCCTCTGCTGTTGGACCGACCGGAAGAACATCCCAGAACGGCACCGCAGAGATCACCTGATCCCCGGCCGATCCCGCGGGACCCAGAGAGAAGCTGGAGGAGTCTGGGACGGGACAGGGCTGACGACAGACACAAGTTTCTTTTGACTGTTCACGACATTAACCTCAATATGTGTGTGTTGTGCTTGTGAGTCTGTGTTGTACCTGCTCAGGTGTGTGTGTGTGTTGTTGGGTCACAGCTCTACATTTGATGGTGTTTGTCGTGTTGTTCACCAGAACAGTTTTATCCTCAATCTGCAAAACCTGAATCCCGTATTTCACTGAAGACGACACACAAAACTGACAGAGCTGCGAGAGAGAGGGGAGAGAGAGAGAGGGGAGAGAGAGAGGGGAGAGAGAGAGGGGGGAGAGAGAGGGACTAGTTATTTATTCCAGATTAACGTTTGGCGTGTGTTGCTTTTTCAAATGCACGTTATACAGTAATCGACTCGAGAGCCGTACATCAATGACAAGCTGCGCATAAATAAATAAAAAAATCGGACCCTTAATGCAGACACGGATAACTGTGATGATTATACAACTTAGCACACACACACCTTGAGTTTTCCGGGCTGTGTGCCGAGTGTGATGTCCGTGTGTATGTATCCCTCCTCATCCAGCAGCAGGACCTCGGCTCCGCCCCCTTCTGGCCACCGTGGCGACGACACCTCGTGGACCAATCGCACGGCAGAAGACTTGTGCACCGTGTTAGTGTTCGGCCAATAGATGCCGATCTGGAAGGCAGTCTGCGGGTCACAGACACACACGATCATTCACGGAGATTCTCAACATTGTTGCAATGCAAATAGTCAGACAGAGAGACAGACAGACAGACAGACAGACGGTCAGACAGAGAGACATACAGACAGACGGTCAGACAGACAGACAGATAGACGGTCAGACAGAGAGACAGACAGACAGTCAGACAGACGGTCAGACAGACAGACAGATAGACGGTCAGACAGACAGACAGACGGTCAGACAGACAGACAGACAGACGGTCAGACAGAGAGACATACAGACAGACGGTCAGACAGACAGACAGATAGACGGTCAGACAGAGAGACAGATAGACGGTCAGACAGAGAGACAGACAGACAGACAGACAGACGGTCAGACAGAGAGACAGACAGACAGTCAGACAGACGGTCAGACAGAGAGACAGACAGACAGTCAGACAGACGGTCAGACAGACAGACAGATAGACGGTCAGACAGAGACAGACAGACAGTCAGACAGACGGTCAGACAGACAGACAGATAGACGGTCAGACAGACAGACAGACGGTCAGACAGACAGACAGACAGACGGTCAGACAGACAGACAGACGGTCAGACAGACAGACAGACAGACAGATAGACAGTCAGACAGACGGTCAGACAGACAGACAGATAGACGGTCAGACAGATAGACAGTCAGACCGACGGTCAG